TCTGGTCACAATCGTCTTTTCTTTTACATTAATGCAAAAATTTTGCTACACAGCATTTTAGCATTACATTTTATTAGGTCGTTTCATAAGTTATAGAGTTTTCATAACTTTGTTGTTGTTTCTTGAAGAAGCGGCTGGATTAAGGCAAACTATCTATAACATTTATAAAAGCCATTATTGCTGTACAAAACCTTCCTTCACTTTGGTTTGGGAGAAAACCTAAAACCCTTTCTATGATCTAACGGCGAAATGTTTGATAGCAAAATTTAGCAATTACGGCACCTGTAATTTCCAAATTTGATCCGCTCACAAAATTTTTTCTCCATTAATAGGCGGAATAGCTAGTAACAAGCACTACTGGTACTTGCCAAAATCGCAGCCCATCATTATTTAGACTGCCAACGAGGTCACAACATTTGCTGTTGTTGATTGCTACCTTTTGAGTTCAACGCGTTGTTTCGCAACAGTATGTTCTGATCACACTATCGCACCTTGACCTACGCATAACTTTGTCTAACCTTTGATTCAATTGGCTTGGCTTCGGGAAGGCGGGGCTTTGTGATGTAATTAAGGCCGCTCGCGCCCGCTACGCCTGCGTCTCTCTCGCGCGGGTGCTCTCTGACCACTAGCTAGCCTTGATTAGGTCACGGAGCCCCACCTTCTCGAAACCAAGCCAGTCGAAACAAATAATAAGTAGTACAAATGTTTAGATACAAGCTCCGGCTAGCCAACTGGAGCTGTTTCCAAGAAAAATCTACTTACAGACTTCTTTGCTAAACTCAAAACATCTGCACATGTAGTGAAAGTGCGTTATATCCTCGTTTGTAGCGCCTCTTTTGACATAAAGTCGTTGGTATACACCATAGTACCGTAAACAGTTGTTACTCATACTCATAGTGATTTGGATGATAAATTCCTATTTTCTTGGTTTCCGTATATGGAGCGAAAGATGCAAATGCCAAAGTTGCCAACTTTGCCAATCAAAATACTACTTGAGAGGTCATGTATTGAAGGAAATCAGGTTTCCTCCGAAATGACAAGTGTTGTTAAGCGAAATTCGCGCTTGGCATATATATAGGCAATTAGTAGTTCGCCGGATGCCAGCATTTCTTCAAAAAACGACCTCAAAAATAAAAACTTTACGATCTTTTGAAACGATCTAATACATAGCTTCTGCTTTTTACAGAATAACCGAATACAGCTTTGCATTTGTAACGGATATCATTATTACGTAATATATACTGGAATCGTTGTTTACCACTTGGCTACCCCTGATCCGTGGAATGGCAAACGAGGAGGTAGCAGACTGAGAAATTATGATGAAATACACTGATCTTTGACTTTGGAATGCTGCCAATGCGTTTTGGAACACTGCCAAATTTCATAACGAGCGACCGAACAATGTTTTCGTAGAAGGGTCACACCATTTCGAAATTCAATTCTGAGTGATGAGAGTTGCAGTGACTTTGATCGGGTCTCCACATTCGGGTGTGTTACTTGTACAAACTGTTAACTTTTTCATGCTTGCTATCCCAGAATGTGTTGGTCACATATATTGTGCTCCTATTTTCTTTTAAAATGATGCTAAATTGCGTAACAACATAATTCAGCTAAATATGTATTTCTCATACAACTCTTGGTAAAAAGTACTCCGAATACGTTCAATTGGGATAATCTTCTTTCTGCTTACAGACAGGAGAGCGCGAAGTAACGTCTTGCTGGTGATTTCGGAAGCATTTGTCTTTGACTAGCTTTGCTTTTGCTTGTGTAACTGGGCCCCGGTGGTGCTTTCAAATAGATGATACCGGTCTGTAAGCGGCACGTAGGGCAACTTGATCGGGCAGGAAAACAGATTTTTGTACCTTTTGGGGCAAATCATATAATTGAACCTTAAGTGACGTAGGCAATTTGATATTACGTTGTGAGTCACTTGATTTCGTTGTAGGAGAGTAAGGTTGGTTTTTCTTATATCTTTAAGCGGCACGTAGGGCATACTCTTTCTTTCAAATAGATGATACCGATCTGTAAGCGGCACGTAGGGCAGCTTGATCGGGCAGATTGGATAATCCTTCATCTGCTTTCAGACAGGAGAGCTTGGAGTAACGTCTTGCTGGTGTTTTCCGAAGCATTTATCTTTGACCAGCCTTGCTTTTGCTTGTGTGACCGGGTCCCGTTGATGCTTTCAAATAGATGATACCGGTCTGTAAGCGGCACGTAGGGCAACCAGGGTTGAGCGTGGGGTCAGGCGCGCCCGACCTGGGGGGTCGTACTGGGGTAAGACAGAGGGGGGGGGGGTCGTGATCAGGAATCGAATTCGTTCGATTGAGGAGATACTACGATTAAGGTGAAGAAGAAAAGCGCTAGTTTAGTGGATATCGCGACCTCACTAGTACTGAAGGAATGAACGGTTTAAACAGCATACTGATTGATTTCACAATCGAAGTTTCGGCCAAAACTCAAATCTTCATCTTCTACCTTGACATATTATAAATTCATCAAGGAAGTTTGCTGTGTGAAATGGGTATCATTTCCGAGCACGTCAAATTACCTCTATGAGCCCTACAAACCATTATTTACTGCATTATCTAGTGTTTCTCAACGACTAAAAAGCGTGATTTTCAAACATGATTAACTTGTTTTCAAAAGTGAGAAAAGTCAATTTTTTTGTACTCGTAACAAAATATTGTTCCCCACTAGTCTAGGCTAAAAATCGCGCTTTGTATCGCTTGCAAATAGTGGAGTAAGAAATAATGCCAAAATTCCGACCAGCGCGTTTTTCGCCATGACTGCTTTAACTCCACGGATTACCACAAGGCCGAAACAAGTCGAATCGAGTTCAAACACTTACTGTGGAATCTTCGAGGGTTGTGCTAGCGATTCACATAAAACTTGAATAAAAAAGCTTCTTCAATGATAAAGTTAATCGGGTCAGGCGCAACCCCACAAAAGGTCAGGCCGCCTGAGCTTTTGAGGGGTTGCGCCTGACCCGATTAACTTGTTTTCAAAATCTAAAAATCGCTCCATTTCTGCTATGAGTATTGAACTCAAAGCCTCTTCTTGCAATACTGCAAATTTGGAGCCAAACAATACACCCCTGTGGGAATTATAGCTCTAAAAGTAGGGCTATCCAAAATCCAAAACTTGCCGTCAAGTTGCGTGTGCTGTGCAATCGCAGAAAGTCGACCTACAGACCTCCAAAAAAAAGAACTCCCAAAAACGGCTGATCTCTTCGAATTATCACAGCCTGAGGTCCTGGAGGTGAAGCAGAGGGGTCATTTAGGGGCTTTCACTGGGAGGGGGGGGGTCGTTTTGGAAAGACTTGTGCCTGACCTCTTGCTCAACCCTGAGGGCAACTTGATCGGGCAGGAAAACAGATTTTTGTACCTTTTGGGGCAAATCATATAATTGAACCTTAAGTGACGTAGGCAATTTGATATTACGTTGTGAGTCACTTGATTTCGTTGTAGGAGAGTAAGGTTGGTTTTTCTTATATCTTTGAGCGGCACGTAGGGCATACTCTTTCTTTCAAATAGATGATACCGGTCTGTAAGCGGCACGTAGGGCAGCTTGATCGGGCAGATTGGATAATCCTTCATCTGCTTTCAGACAGGAGAGCTTGGAGTAACGTCTTGCTGGTGTTTTCCGAAGCATTTATCTTTGACCAGCCTTGCTTTTGCTTGTGTGACCGGGTCCCGTTGATGCTTTCAAATAGATGATACCGGTCTGTAAGCGGCACGTAGGGCAACTTGATCGGGCAGGAAAACAGATTTTTGTACCTTTTGGGGCAAATCATATAATTGAACCTTAAGTGACGTAGGCAATTTGATATTACGTTGTGAGTCACTTGATTTCGTTGTAGGAGAGTAAGGTTGGTTTTTCTTATATCTTCAAGCGGCACGTAGGGCATACTCTTTCTTTCAAATAGATGATATCGGTCTGTAAGCGGCACGTACGGCAATTCGATAAGGCAGAGGAACAGATTTTTATATCTTTAGGCGGAGTTTCTATAATTGACGGTCCTTAGGTAGAACGTAGGACAATTTGAGGATCGCTCAAAAAATAGTTGATTACATCTGCTTAGGCCTCGCCAAATATAGTGACAGAATAGCAAGAGAAGCAAGAGAATCCAGTAGTCATCGTTTTTAGAGATGAGTGTAGCAAAATTTCGTATTTTCAATTTGACGAAATCCCAACTTGGAGGGCTTTTTGACAAGTTTTGAGAGAATTGATATTATTGCCGTCAAAATTGATTTTGAAAGAAAAGCTATGTCCATTGTAGTATACATTTCTGTTATGGATGTTCTCCTACTTTAAAACGATGTGTATTCTATCAATTTTCTAACAATCCACGAAATTTGTAGAGAAAAACACGACGAAGCGAGTTTTTCGAGAAGGTAGGAGGGTGGAATCTTTTCATTACCCGAATGAGTCTCCGCGAGAGGAGGGGGGGGGGGATTTTGCAGAAAAGCGTGGTAATTAAATCTTCCTTTGATCTTGCGAAAGAAAATTTTCCTTAATCTCGTTGGTTATGGCAGGGCTTTCGAAAAATGCTGGATCATTTGTGAAGTTTATTGCTCCTTGAGCGGTTCTCTTTGAAATGCTTCTTCACAAAAATGTTTGTAGAAAGGAGTAGGAAATTTTATGTGGAGATATTTCTAGTCACAGCTAAACCTAATTTTGTATCTGCCCCGACCCACTTGCTAGCGTCCCGTAGGGTCGCTAGTCGCTTAATTAAATTTCTAAAGGCATGCATTCATTGCAGAATCGGTTTTTAAAAATAGTAGACAACCGCTTTTTCAACATTGATAGATAACCGTCTACCCTAAAGAGTAGTTGAAAACCCAAGCCATTAACAAAATATCCACAAATAACGGTTTTATTCGCACGTCATTCAGCACGCTCCAAAGCGGCATTTTTTTACTTTTGATAAGAGATAATCGAATTTACAAGCGCTTTTATAATTGTTTTTCATCTCAATCGTGGTAAATTTATATTTCCAGCAACCACTGCAGGATCAACTGCAGTAACGACTGCTTCTCCAGGTTTGAAAATGAATCTAAGCCACTTCGTTCAGAAGAATTTACCTGATTTTAGCAACCACTACAGTAACAACTGCAAGTACAGTTGCTTCCCCAGGTCAGTACAAAACATTAGCTGTTTGTTCACAAATTATTTAGTGTACCATTTGATTCAACTGGTTTGGCTTCGGGAAAGCGGGGCTCCGTGACCTAATTAAGGCTAGCCAGTGATCAGAGAGCACTCGCGCGAGAGAGACGCAGGCGCGTCGCGGGGTGCGCGAGGGGCATTAATTACGTCACAGAGCCCCGCTTTCACGAAGCCAAGCCAGTTATATCGAAGATTAGCTATACGCGCAATCTCCTTCTTTTCTGATTCTTGATCATTTCAGCAACCACAATCGCTGCCACAGGAACAGGTGGGAAGTACAGAGAGCTGAAGAAAATTTGATTTGAACAGTTTAACCGTGTAGAAAATCACTCTTAAAGTGTCGATTTTTCACAAACTTTAGAATAGAAAATTATCGAAGTGACTTTTAACTTTTGAGTAACGTTGCAGGTGAATGAGAAGTAAATCGAGGCCTTCTGCTCATTATGTTTCTCCAATAAGCACATTATTATTCGATTTTGATTTTTCTCAGGTCTCCCGAAGGTTCTAAAGAGCTTAACAATTTAGGGAACACCATTTGTTCCGGCAACAATGGAATGCCAGATAATGTTAGGCAAACCATGCTTGATCTACATAACAATTATAGGTGATTTTCCCAGAATTACAGAACCGCGCACTTTTTTTTCTAGAAAAAAAAACTGTTTATATTGCTGCAGATCGAGTGTTGCTCGAGGGTTGGAAGCGGATGCGTTGGGTGGAAATGCTCCTAAAGGTTCGAAAATGCTTAAGATGGTAAGAGAGATTACTACTTTTGTTGGAACCTGTATTCTCATTGCTTGCAGAAGTATGACTGCTCTGTTGAAGCTAGTGCAATAAAACAAGCAAATAAATGCGTATTTGCGCATTCTGAAGATTCTGAACGCCCTGGCCTGGGTGAGAACCTGTTCGCATCGAGTGATCCTGCTCTTGCGAAAGTTACAGCCGCTACGCAGGTTACTTTCAAGTAATTTTCAGCTTCTGTGGAAAACTGTAATGATTGAGGCTGCTCAAAGTTGGTGGGAAGAACTGAAGCTGAACGGTGTTGGTCCTTCAAACAATCTCACTGATGCGTTATGGGATAGACCAAACAAACAAATCGGTCATTACACCCAGGTCGGTAGCCCTTTCTCTAACAATCAACCATGCCAACTTGCGGTTCATAATCATACGAACACCCCATATTTTGAGAATTAGCGGACTTTATTGAAGGAACAAAAAACCGTTGGTATTTTTTGGAGGAGTATAACCGAAAACGGTATGTGCAACACAAGCACGAAAGCAGGTGTCAATATTAGGAACGTTTCTGCGCCAAATGCGAGTTTTTAGCGTTTCATAACTGTACGGACATCCCAAGCGATTCTCCTCTTTTTACGGAAAATACCAATTTTTCAAGACAAATTTTTTTTTTGAAAGATACTGTAACAAAGCCCAAGCTGCTGAACCCCATGCAATCCAAATAGAAGGTGTTTCTCCTTAATGGCTCTGGATCAATGTGCTCCAAAACGTCCGCATTTTGGTGGTTCAAGCATTCTAATTAGCTTCTCTCAGACAATTATTGCGAGCACCCGCAGCCCCTAACGGTGTCCTTCGGCGGTGCGCGAGCGTCAAATTCTTGCACTGACCATCCGCGGCCCTAGACTTATTTGCTTGGTGACCCGTGGCCCGATGTTATCATCACGGAAAAGCCGCGGGTCTCAAATATTTTATCGGAACACCCGCGGCCCAAGAAAAGCCACACGGGCGAGCCTCGGCCCTTACAGGACTCCCTGCATATGTAGTTTTCGGGCAAGCTCCGGCCCTCTAGACCACGGCCCGACAGAGCGACTCTGGCGAGCCCCGGGCCTGGCTGGATGCCGCAATTCCTACACGCCGTAAGAGGAAACGTTACTTGCGTGAGATACGGCGCGATGATAGAGCTACCCTCTACATTTGTTCGCAAGCCAAGTTCTGGTCGTCGAAAGTCTTTTGGATGACACAGTTGGGGCTCTCGATCGTGGTTATAGGGTCGAAGCGTTGATGGGGAGGGCGTGAACGTCACCCTGTATTTTTTTGTAGATTGCGGCTTCTATGCTAGATCGGAAGTGGAAACGGCTTCTCAAATTTTTTCGTTATTCGAGTACCGGGTGCGTATCGGGCCACCCGCGGGTGCGAATCGCGCATTTATCGGGCGCTTGTCAGGCCACCCGATGGTAATATTCGGGCGCTTATCGGGTCACCCGCAGACACTGTCGGGTGCCTATCGGGCACTGATCGGCGCGCCCTCGGGATGGGCGTGGCGTCGCCCGTGGGTGGTCGGCGGGTGCTCGCCATAATTGTCTGAGCTAAATAAATGAAATTTTTTTGATATATTAGGTTGTCCCGAAAGATTTGTCCGTATTTTTTATCTCTCACTAAAACTCACAAAACACCACCATGGACAAGCTGGTGACCACTTGATTTAAATTTTTATACTCTTTCTTACAACTATATTTGCTTTGCAATCTACCCTGTCTTTACAGTGTTATCGCCATGGCTTTTTAAGCAGCTCAGCAGTAACGCCAAATGTTTCCTGAAGAAATTTTTACCCTGATGTTTTCAAAGAGAGCTGGAGACCATTATGTAGACCAAACCTCTGGCCACATCGTAGTCATTTTAGATTACATAGGCCACGTTTACCAAGCGTTATAATTACTTATTTAACAAAAACCGCAGCTTTTTGATTACGTTTACCGCCTAAAAGTACCGAAAATTCCAAAGAGCTGTTTTTTCAAAGCAAATCAAACTTGGTTATGTTGCATAAATAATGTTTAATAAGAACCATGTTTCAATTCGCAGAAACTTTGAATGCTTTCGTGTATTTGGTGCAGTTGCTGTTTCATAATTTTGCCAAAAATTGAGACCTCTGAAGATAATTTTTTGAAACTAAAAACAGCAGATCAGGAATTCTTAAAAATACTAACTTGTAGTCCGAGAATTGCTCTATTTGATCCGTACTTAACTCTTTCCGAAACTTTAGAATAAATTTTTCAAAAAAATTGCCTAACTTAGAGGAGATGAAATTGACGTATGGACAATTTTGGCATTTATCAAAAAGAGCATACAAGGTTTTAATTCGAAAATGTATCCGTAAGAAAGAGAAGGAAAAGCTGCATCGAATGCATGTTGAAACTCATTTAGTTCTTTATTGTGCGTGGTTCTATAGTGGTTTGAAATACGGACAAAACTTTTGGGATAACCTAACATATTTTGATTAACGCGTGGGAGATTCCCTGCGTTTTCGCCGCTTTTTTCAACCGAGTTTCAGCTTTACCCTAGAATTATCACCACTTCGAGACTCAAAACTCAGCTTCTGCAACAAGTTCCTAAGATTTGTAGTTGCTCAGAAAAGTTCTGCAACGCTGAGCGTTTGTTTTGTCTACGCAAACGTCATTTTACGAAATTGGTTATGCTAATTTTTACCCTACACTCCCTGATCGTTTAGCCCCAGAGCCCTAAATTAGTGCATGTCTTTTATGAAACAATCGCATTGCTTGTACGTTGAAGTATCTGTGCTGATGAGTTCAAATCTTTTGCAGCGCTAATCTCGGGGCTTCGGAGCTGAAAAGTCAGAGTTGATTGTAATAATAAACACAGCCATCATTATAAGTTGAGTTTGCGTGTACAGGACAAACGCTTCGAGTTGCAGAACTTTTCTGGCCAAACACAATCTTACAAACTTATTTATTTATTTATTTATTTAAATGCACTTAGAAGTGCGCCAAAAAAGAGCAGAAAACACAGCAGATAACCAATCGATCACACACCCAGTACAGTAGCAGGGGAAAAGCCAGAACTTGTGTATACTTTATGCTTAGCCTACCGCGTGACCGCGAAAGCTGAGTTTTGAGGCTCGAAATCGTGCTAGGGTGAAGTTGGGATTTGAAAAACCCGGCGAGAAACGCTAGGATTTTTCAAAGGCTAAACAAATATCCAGAAAAAAATTTGATTCATTTCATAGCAGAGGTAACCTTTAATTCAACTGGCTGGGCTTCCTGTCCTAGTTAAAGCCGCTCGCGCCCGCGACGCAGTCTGCGTTTCTCTCGCGCGCGGCCCTCTGAACTTTTTTAGCCTCAATTAGGTCACAAAGCCCCGCCTTCCAACCGCCAAGCCAGTTGAATTAAAGGGTAGAAGCTAACAGGAGTGCTTCACCCACAGAAAAAACCAAACGTTTTTGGATCGCACTGACAAAAGCATTCTGATGAGCCATCTGAAAAGAAAAATGCTCCTTTTTTGAACTGCGCTGGGTTCAATGCACATCAAATATTCCAGACTTTGTTACTGTAAGTTATTGTACTTTACAAAAAAAACTTTGCCTTGGGAGATTGCGTTTTTTAGTGAAAAAGGCGAGTCGTTTACCGCTAAAAGCTCGCATTCGGCACAAAAACATTCTTAACAATGACATCCATTTTCATTCTTGTACCGCGTTCACCATTTTCGGCTATGCTCCTTCACATGGTACCAACGTTTTTCCGAATTACTTCCAAAAGGCCCCAAAAAACTCCCAGAATATGAAGTGTTCGTATGATTATGAACCGCACTTTATTGAGATGGCCTGGGACACAAGCTACAGACTTGGCTGCGCTGTAGTGAACTGTCCGAGTTTCACATATGCTGTTTGTCAGTATGGACCTTCGTGAGTTCAATGCTGATTGCAGCATAATTAATCTTACACATTTACGATATTTAGCGGTAATATCATCAATAGCCTAGTCTACACCATTGGCAATCCATGCACTGGCTGTCCCACCACGAGTACTTGCACCACAACGGAGGGATTGTGCAACGTACCATAAGAGACGAAAAAATTGTTGAAGATTAATAAACGTAGACGAGATGATTTTGCGGGGAAGTCAAGTCTAGCAAGTTAGACACAGATTTAATGCTTCTTACAATTAGAAGCAGTTTCTTGTCAGGTCTGAGTGCCTGGTTCTTTTCAAATGTAGGAAATGACTGGGTGTATTTAAGTGTAGAACCTGACACGAGATTTGTGTGAAGAAAATATATAAAGTGTGCACAGGTTAATAGGTTGGCTAATGAATAATTTCGGTCGCTTTTGCAACTCCTACAGACGCTGCAGTTTGTCTAGTATTCGGTACCTACGGAAAGGGCACTTGAACGAGAGTTGGAACATAAAATTTGGGTAGAATTTATTTTGCTTTGAAAGAATTCCGCAAAGAAGTGAAAAACTCTAAATCTTCCTATGTGTACAAACATGGGAAAGCTTGTTTTTTTTTTGGTCAAAGAATTTTGAAATGGAAACTATCAATATTCGCTAAGTAGGGAAAACATGTCCGTATCCAAACACCAAATTGCTGTTCTCTACATTCATAAGAGCATGAACACGAAGCTCAGAAAGTCGCAGAATTAAGTTATTGGAGTTTTAGCCGTGTTGGGCATAACAGTCCCTTACTGATAATCGAAACTTCTGAATAGTTGATATGCGATACAAGAAGTTTTGAACTACTTATCCACAAAATATCATGAATAAAGAACGACTAGGAAAGTTTTTATGAAGATTTTCGTGCCAAAACGAATTTTTAGCCAACCTAGTACGTTGACGAATCAGATTTGCAAAGGAACCTTTGTTGAATTATGTTTCGTCTTCTGCTTTTAGAAAATGTGCCTCTTATTTGGTTTCCATTGTTCAAAATACTTAAGAGGGCGCAGACGATTTTCTGGCTCTCCAGAATGGAGAACTCTTTGAGTTCCGTAGATGAGCAGCTAGAACAAGTTGAAGAGTGTCACTGTAAAGACCTTGTCCTTCATTTCAGAAATTGTACATGCCATAAGAAGAAATTGTTTTAAGACATTCATATCACAACCAATTGCACCTCTTTCCTTCCTGCCGAAGTCGTCGTACGACGCTTCTCGAATCAGTCATTTCAACATTTGAAATTACAATGGATGAACAGAAAGTTATATGCCGAATAGAAGAGGAAGAAAAAAATCTTTCAAAGACCACCGAACCTTTGAACAAATTGTTTTGATTTAATATGTAAAATTCAGAGATCTAATATGAAAATGTAGATACAATGTCTATGCAAGTTGTGGACGCAGAATACTTGGTTTACTTTAAACAAAAACTTCCAGAAAAGGATGTTTATCGACTTGTAATCATGACGTTCAAATGCAGATATCCGAACAAGTAAGTAGTAATTTTTAAACGCACGAATCACATAACAATTGTGGCTTTTACAAAGGTATAAAAAACTTTTGAATTTGTTTTGACTGAAGAAATGAGAATGATTGCGAGTGGTCACCGCTCTAGGCAAACGATATCGTACCCTTTGACATCGCTTTCTGAAATTCACCATATGGCAGCAGATTACAAAAATTTACGAAAATTTACCCGTTGAGGAGCGACAGGCTGAAGTGTTGCTGTTCCAGAATCGGAGACTGACACTGAAATAAGCAGTGGTATCAACGCAGAGTACTTAACTTTCAATGTGAATAGTACCTTGGACACTCCGTGGATTCAGCTTTACCGTCTCCTCGTCGCTGGCATGACCAGTACGCCAAATTCGTCGCGCATCTGCACACCAATTTGTGACGCAACATAACAGACACAGTACAGGAAGCACCACGCCTATAATATCAATTTTGTAACTCTTCGTAAAAATTTTAAAGTATGAGACCATTGTCAGACATCTATTCTTGAGTTTAAAATTCAGAACACAAAAAATCAAGAGTTCAAAAAAGTGAAAATCGCTACAATAGCTGCGTATCAGTTTGGTATGTATATAAGTCTTGCACCAAAATGCTGAAGGTTTACCTAATATATTTCAAACAAAGTTTCAAATTATATTTTATTTTACAAACCTACAACAAGCGTCCCATCAAATTATGCTATAGAAATTTTATCCGAAACAAAATCAAATTTAGAGCTGAGTAAAGTCAAAAATACAGGTATTAGTAGAAATAGAAGCAAGCAATCACCGCATACCTTTTGCACTTAGAAAGGGCGAATCGTAAACATAATCAAAAATAAATTTAAGTTTTTAGACCCTCTAGAGTTCTAGACTGAAAATCAAAAAACCCATTTTTGTTGCCTTTCATCAGCTAGTACCAGTGTGATATCCAATATGGAGTTTTTGATGTTGCTTTTCTAAGTTTGAATGAACAAAAACATTGAAAGCACATTTTTTTACAACTTTTCAAAAAATTTTGAGCATGACTTATGAACCAGCCTAACAAATAGGCTTTTAGCGATGAAGTGCAACTTTCAATGTACGTAAAGACAATTACCCTGCATTTCAAAAAAGTGTAAAAATTTCCAACTTTACTGAGATATAATTGTAGGAAGAGCTCAAAACTTGAGCAAATCTGATATATAAAAATCATTAGCTCATTTCAAAAGTCTTCCAATAGGAAACCGCGACGGGTCCCGAAGCGAACGCTCTTTCAAATAGCATCTTTAGATTACTGGTCCACTGGTTCTCACCTGTGAAAACTGCAGAAAAAATGCAGACAAGAAATACGATAATATTCAATTGGCAAACTATGAGTGGAGCTTGACCGGCGCAGTGGGACACGAATGAGTTACATTCACTCGAGCATTCTGACTGAAAAATTTCAATTGGTAGTTGTAAAATAAAAAGATATATTAAACTTACGTATGTCTCATAAATAGGGAAGGAACCGGACATAGCCCATAATATAATGTAGCATTTCCAAGAGTTTATGGCAATAAAAACTTCATTTACGGATTGCAGTAGCCGAAGTGCTCTTCTGCAACGAATTCGAAAATCAAAAAAGAAGCAGAAATTGCGTAGAAACGGAGCGTAAAAGAATAAACAAATGCTAAGAGAACTATGGAGAAAAAGCAGAGAAAAGAAAGAAAAGAGCAAAGAAAAAGTAAACGATCTAGAATTCAAGAAAATTTTCGCGTATTTGTTACAATAAATTATCTTGTTATTTTTATCGTACGATGATAGATTGCAAAAAAGAGTAAAAGTAAGCTTTGAAACTTGCAAAGAATACGAATACGACTAAATGCTTGGAGAGGTTAGTGTATTATTTACCAAAAAGTGGGCGGCTGCAGAATTTCCGCGGGGGGGGGGGGGAGAGAAGAAAGACAAAAAATTTCTCTTTGAATCAAGGCGCATGGCGCCCCAAAAATTTTTGCGGGCCGTGAATCTAGAAGGATTTCTTAAAGGACTGATTCGATTTTCTGAAAATTTCAAAAATTATTCAAATCATTCACAAGTATACAAGCCGCATGCACATTCTTATAACACATATAGTTAACTTGCAAAAATCTCTCCCATTCTCGGCGGTGGTGGGAAGGAGGGGGGTCTCTCTTCGGTACACCACTGCTTCACTTTCTTTAGTGTGGGTAGTGTAGTTATATTGACTCCTGCCACAAATTAACTAGCTGTTTCTTCCCCCCCCCCTCCCTCCAAAGGCAAGTGTCGATTTACTGCAAGCACACATATGCGAGTAGTGATTCATAGCTGAAATATCATGCCAATTAGTAGTTATACTGGAGCAGAAGTCATGCTTCCTGCGCAGTGTTAATACGATTATTATTGAGATTACTATTTATAGGCATGAAACGAAACATTGCGGAAGTTCTGGCTAATTAGTAGCAGAGGGAGAGAGCGGAATGGAATGGAAAGGATGAGAAAGGTTAATGGAAAAACTGTGTGAAAACACATCAAGCATAATCTCCCTGACTGATTTGTGTTGGCAGTGAATCATTCAAAAAATAAAAAAAAAGGAAGTAAAAATCTTCTAGAAGGTATCATTACAAATGATATCTCAAAAGAAAGGAAGCGTTATCGTAACTCTCTTCCCTCAAAGTCTTTTGCTCAGCTTCAAATACCATCCAGTAAAGCAGGCTTCAACTTAGTTTTTGCAGTGTAGAGCGAACCGCTTATCAGCCTTCATTACTGTAGGATTAGCTAGAACCTTAAAAAGGGTTTTCAACCATTAGTTGCAAATGATTTAAAATATGGTAGAAACTTAACAAGCTTACACTTTATATTTAGGTTAAAGTGAGTAGCTAACTGTTATATATGAGATTCGCACTTTACCGTAAAGCTTTTTCCGTAGGTTATGCCAGGTAAGACACAATAAGGTTTCTAGGGTTTTTCAAAAATGTGATGGAACCATATATGCTTGGAAAATTCGTAAAAAGGTGACTAATACATATAATCAGCCCTGAAAACATTGCTATACAGCTTTTCAGATTTTTTGACTGTCTTTCACAATGGGGCTGTATGCTGAAGTTGCTACTGTAGCTTTACAGTTCATATCGATCCTTCATTCGCATTGTATTAGTCTAAGTGGAATCCAACTCTACAGAATGGTACTGAGGCTATACAAAAGACATTAAGAGAAGGGAAAAAAGCGATAAAAAGTTTTTGTTATTGTTCTTTTGGGCCACCCTTTATAAGATAGCAACCCTTCGGGTTACCAGCTAGGAAGGCAACCTAATTCAGAAGATAGATTGGTATAAAGTGAAAAACGAGATATGGCTATTATTAGAGCAGACAATCACTTGCTAGACAAGCATTATCATCTTTGAGCAGATGATTTACCACAAAAAAATTGATAGGAGTCTAAATCGGTTTCAGACATGCGCTTCCGCAATTTCGACTCAGCTTTCGATTCAACAATCGCAAAGGAAATAATAATAATTGGTGAAAAACAGGCAAATGCCTGACGAAAATTGCAGAAAGGATATTTTGCAGATAATCGTGTAGGACTCAGGGGGGGGGGGCTCAGACAGAGGTTGAGGGGAAACGGATTCTGAAAGTGGCCTCTATCACTCATAAACTAAGCCCTTTGAGCGGGTGTAGACAATTTCGAAAAATGAGTACCCTTGCGATAAAAAAAATTGCAGAATGCGACTAAAATCATGTTTCCTCGTAGAACGCTTGCCTTAAAGCGATAGAAAAACTTCTCGCAAAATTTGCCGACTTCACAGAAAATTCTAGTGCACATAGGCTACATAGCTAATGAAACCTTAGCTGCAGAAGAAGCCTTCACATTTTCGTCATCAGAAAATCGGATTAGGATCTCTGCTGCAGCAGAAGCTCGCAGCATATCCAGGCTTCGAAGAAAAATCTTTGGGAATTAGTCATCGCATGGAACTTTATAGCTGATATGAACGAGCGAGATGAACATGAGTTCCTCCTTACGAGGGTATGTTAGACTAATGGGCCATTGCAGGGGTATAAACGCGGAAGTAATGGTGCTCATACTCTTCACTCGCTCATTAGAATGAATTTGCATTTGTGGAAAACATCTTGAAAAACAGAGAGGTCAATGACGGTGTGATGGCTATGATTAGCGCAAGGAGGGCAAAGAAAGGAAAAGGTGAAGAGAAAAGAAAGAGTAAAATTGGAAGGTGGGCCTAGAAGGTTAAAAAAAACTGTGTACACAATTTAAAGTTTAGTATTGTGTTAGATTGGGAAGTAAAATTATTATTTATTTAAGCTTATAAAGGTTGAAAGTTTTTTGAATTTTTCTGCATCTACAGTAGCAGTCGAAGATTACGGTACCATGCATTGAGGAAAAAAAGTAAAACGGAGGATCTGCCGGAGCTTAAATTGATCAAAATGCCTAGAGTACATACAACTAGAAGGGCAAAGTGCTATTTTTGTATGAGATTTTCATAGTGGCTGAGATTTTCAGTTGGTTTTCTTCAAGTCACACTCAAAATTTTCAAATTTCAAAAGATTTCACCTTTTGCAACTGGCTTGGCGGCTGCAAGGTGGAACCTCGTAATCTAATTAAGGCTAGGTAATGATCAGAGAGCACGCGCGCGGGAGAGACGCAGACCGCGTAGCGGGCTTGAGGGCCTTAATTGGGTCACAAAGCCTCGCCTTCCAGCCGCCAAGCTAGTTGAATCAAAGGTTGAAACAAAATCATCAGATTTCGAAAGCTGATTTTATGTTTCTGTAATTGCACCAAAACTCAGAAGAGTAATCCTTAAACAGCACACGATTGTTGATCACGATCAAGCACGAGTTCTTGTTATCCTATTAAAACAGCAGCAATATAAACTGACGCGGTCATTTAGTAAACAAAAGATGAGATAACGAGATTAAACAATGAACATAATTGGATTTTTCTCGCATCAACAATCAAAAATCGCATGTGAAAATTTAGAAAACATAAGTTTTGTCCTTACTTTCTTTAGAAAAGCGATATTTGTCCAAAAGATGCACTAGAAGTTTTTAAAACAGAAGGAAGACCATGCATTGAGGAGTTAAGGGGAGTGGAGGAGTTAAAGCTCTGTATCTGGAAGTTCTATAAACACATTGTCGCCATACTTTGAATAAAACTTACTGGGGTAATTTTTCGGAATAGTTCCCAAATTTTCCAGTAGAAAAAGCCAAAATTTCCTCCAGTCTCTTTCGAAACACATAGCAATACACACATTTGGTAAAGCAGCAACAATCACATCCAATTTTCTAGTATCCGTTCAGATTTGATTATTATAGCAAGCAGTAATGAAGATGTCTAGGGCTTCAAGAAGTCAGCAGGAAATCAGAAAAGCAGTCGAACAACAACACCTCGAGTTGCTTTCAAAAGCCATGCACGTTTACCAAAACGTAAACACATAATCCAACTCAAGGAAGCAAGTGGAAGGTGAAGAAAATTTTTGGAAAGCTAGTACACTCTTTTATAGGGTTGAAGGCGTGGCTCGGGAAAATTGCGACTGCGGGTTTTTCACAACTAAGTGGCCTTCTGGACCAGCTGGGTCCGGTAATGCGTTTGAAAAGTTAAAAAAGTGTTTGTTTCTTTTGGCGTTTCCGGGCCTTGGAGATTGCTAGGGAGACGGGGCGAGGGATTCAACCGAAGATGAGCAATCGGCAGCAGGAGACTGTAACTCCACCTGTTTTGGCGGCAAACTGTATCGTGATGGTTGCCTAGACTGATCAGCCAATTGCCGCCAAAATAGGTAGAGGTTACAGTCTCCAGCAGCCAGTTGCTCCTTTTGGAGTGAATCCCTCGCCCCGCCCCTCCAGCAATTTTTAAGGCCCGGAAACGCCAAAAAAAGCACTTTTTTGACCTTTCAAGCGCAGTACCGGACTCAACTGGTCCAGACGGCCATGCAGTCATGTAAAGCACGCAGTCGCAATTTTCCCGAGCCACTACCTTTGAGTGACTGATACGGGATTATGTCCAATAAGATGTTTGATCAAAGTAGACCGTCCATATGTTAGATTGGACAGAAAGTTCATTCGCGCAATTTTCTAAAATCCCTAACTTTTTTAGGATTTTGGTCCTGCTCGGATTAAATTCAGTTAGAAATCGCACAGCATATGGTTTCTAAAAGTGGCCCTACGAATTTCAGCTGTGTTCAGATTGCAGAGATAAAAATAGAAGGAAATCTTTCGAAGCCCGGTGATTTGAGGCAAGCTTGTTAAAAATCTAAAAACTATGCAATAAAATCCAAAACAGCTATTATCCTCAGTTTTCCGACCTCCACTTTCTAGCTGAGCAAAGTTTGTGTTGATCGAGTATCTCTACGAAATTTTCGAGAGATAATGCCATTAAATCAATCTCTTAGGAAGAGACGAATGCGGCACAAGCTTTTTAGTCCTTACTAGCTTCCTAGAATACATCGGAGATGACATATATCCTGAGAGACATCACGAACAAGTAGGTCATGGCAATCTGATGAATAAGAAGAAAAATTTGAGGAGAAGAATAGGTAGGAGGGGAATAGAAAGAGTAAGAGGTTATAGGTCGATAGATGAAAGTCTTCAAAG